ACTGAAGGTGTTTAAAAATGTACACGTGGCATTTCTCGCTTGCAGCATTTGCATGAAGAGCTTTCTCACATCATCTTTCGACACGGTTCAAACAGACTGTCACCCGGTGCATATCGCCCGCCCTCTCATCTCCCACCTACAGGAGTTTTCCTTGTGGTTGTGCATCTTTCCTCTTAATGAGTTCTCATTGCAGCATTGATACGGGCCACAGATTTGCCGTTTGTCACTGCAGATAAGAGGTGACATTGCTCAGGCATCCCTGTGTCCTCAGCTGGGTCATATTCCATCCTGGCGTCAGAGATTGCAGTACGTCTGCTCACCTTCAGCTAGCACGCTGCCCAAAACGGAGAGAAATGCATCTGCTGTCATGACTCCAGCATGCCATGACACACTGCCCAAGATGGCCAAAGCCAACCAGCATACAGTATTTACTGTATTTACTGTCAGCTTATTTACCATCAGTGTATTTACCATATGCTGACTTCCAGCATTACATGTCATTCCACAGTACTAACAAGGTACATGATTTATGGGATGCTGCTGAGAGTAAAACATAGTTAAAATTTAATTATAGTTCTCCTTTTATTTCTTTCCTTGCATAAATGTGGTATGAACTGAGTCTGGTCTATTGACTTTTCTCCAATTTCTTGTTCCCCGAGGTGGAAAGTTCCTCTGGATTTTTAGAGATGGAAAACTACCGACTGCTGGGCTCTGGCAGGAGAAGGGTAACAAGCATCTGGGCATGGCGATGGAGACTCCTCTTGACAGCTCTGCTCCTCAGGCACAACGGGCCTTTCTATCAAAGCTCATGTGTGTGGGAGACAACTTTCTCGGGCACTGCTCGGAGCCTGAAGACTAAACTCTTACAGGGAACTAGAGTCTTAAAAGCTGTACCTTTTCCCATTGTATGTGCCCTTTGTTGACTGCAAATGTGGCTCTGTCCCCTGCACAGAGCAGCAGGGAGCAAATGCGTCAGACATAACGGCATCCAGTCTCCATGCTCCGCGCAGTTCTTCATAAATGACTGACGATGTTATTCCTTGTCTTGTGTAGATCCTGACTACCTTCAAAGTTTCACTGAAGTGATTTGTTTTCAATTCAGAAGAAGGGACACAAGACTCCATGCAATTCATCCATTTTCCTCTTGGCTCACTTGAAGGAAAAGAAGGACCTATAACAATGTTTGGTACTGGGATTGGTACCTGACTTTGATCAGGGATGTGATTTGTCACCTTTATCACTCCTACACCAAGCTATGTGGTTCACTGGTGAAACAGCATCGGTGCTCAAGACGTTACCACACTACAGATAGCTGTGAGCCCCCTCAACCATTACAGCAGAGCAGCCATGCGAAGGCTTCTCACCCCTTTCAGTGAAACATCTGCTGGGCTGAAGCTGTCTAATACCGAATTAAACAAACGCTGTGACTTTGCAGCCAGGTGGCTGTGGAGCACGCAGGCTTTAGGGCTCTGCTATGGAGGGAGCAACCCCGGGAACAAGTGTGGCAACAGGCTGCCGTGGTCGTAACCTTTTGAACAGCTGCAGCTGTTTGCAAACTGAGCCTGCACCTACACACGTAATGTTTTTCCCTTTCCCCTCAAGAATAACCCATATTAGCATTATCCCGGCACAACAGCATCCATACTCCGGGGAGTTAGCTGCAACAGCATTGTTAAAGCAATTCAGCTTTTGTAGGCAGACAGGCTATAATTACACTAAATTAAAATAGAATGCTTTTTTTCTAGCCTCGGCATCTCCAGGAGGACTTGCACCAAAATAACCAAAGGTATGAATTAAGCCATTTCTGTTATTTTAGTACATGCCTGAGCGCAGGCAGGCTCCCACTCTGATCCTTCTGGCTGTCGATCCTGGCAAAGCTCAGCTGCCTGGGTGATCTCCTCTTTTCAGGCTTCATCACAGGGGTTCAATATATGAAAGCACCTGACAGGGAAATTCTTCTTGGTTGTAGCCAGGTGCCCTGTGATGTCTCTCTCTGGCACTAACTCCCATCCATGACAGCACCCTCCTTCTTCATTTACGGGAAGGTAATTCTGCAGGGCTGGGGAGTCCCACATGTGGGTCAGTAGCCCCTGTGGGTCTTGAGCATGAGGGTCACACCGAGCCCCTGTGCTCCGCTGGCTGCTGTGCTTCCAGCCACCCCTGCCCGGCTGTGCTCCCTGCAGGGAGTGGGTGGGTGCTGCCGCCCCAGCACAGGGCTCCAGGGAGCTGTTTCTTCCCGACCCCTCCAACTGCACGCACAGGGCATCCAACCTGGGATCTTCCCAGCTGCCTTCAGCCAGGGAGGACCTTGGCTCTGGCCCTGCTTTGGGGTGCCCAAAATGTCGTCTAAGTGCACGAGTGCCAAGACCCCATGGACAGCCACAGCGGCTGTGTCCGTGGAAGAGGCCGGCGCACAGAGAAAAGCAAGATTAGCTGTACCAAGTGCTTATTTCCATGAGGGACGAGCCTCGGCAGGGCCTTCAGTGGTCAGACCATGCCGCTCCAGGGCTTATAGAAGCAGGCAGGCAACAGCCCCGTAGGCCCGACGTTTCCAGCTCCTCCAGCGAGCATGGGGCAGGCAGCCGGCGCACGACGGGCACCTGCGGCACGCGCTGCGGTGCGAAACCAGCCGCGTCGTGTGGGTTTCCGTTTCGGGGAGGGAAATGGGGAAACAGCACACCAGGTCGCACTAGGAACCCAGTGATGCCGAAAACGGTAAACTGAAGTCCCGATGTTTGAGTCGTTTAAGCTATGTCTGCTTGCTGTCTGCAAAACGAGGACACGGGCACCTATCTCCCAGGTTCTCCAGGTGGCACCGTTCATGTTTGAACGGCGCTGTTAAGGTCCCCAGAAGAAATGTGCCAACGATGTTCCCAATTTAGGGCAGAGCCAAACTTTTTAGCGGCCTTTCATTTTCTGTGCTCAACCGCAAAACTTTCCATGGCCAACTTACTTCAACGGTGCTAAAAACGCAGTCCCCCCCTTTCCCACGGCACACGGCCCAGTTTATCCCTCGCCAGGCCTGCAGGCGGGAGCGTGCTCAGCGCCCGCCGCAGACCCCCCGGG